GGTAAAATTTCTCATAATACTGCACGTTTTATTCTATCTTGATTTTCAAACATGAGAAACTAAACTCCACGTCTGATGGCGATCCCGTACTGCTCACGACTAAGTGATGAAAAATATCAAAATAACAGAAAGATATTTTTTTTATGTTGTTTTATCAATAATATGAGAAGATATCTTTTAACTCGGATCCTCATACGGGTAACAATGCTCTGACATCGAATGCTGTTTGATGAAAAGCTAGTTGTGGGAGTAAAATTTATACCCATTACCCGTTTTCCATCGATCAGTGTTCGATGCCAAAGCGCTGTTGTCCGTATGAGGAATGAGGATCCGGGCTTAGTTGACTTACTTTTCACTTTGCCGAAGAGATATCCATAGAAAAATGCCTTTTTTAAGTTGTCTTTTAGAAGAAATGAAAAACCATCTTACAAACATCTTTTCGTCTTGTCAAAAAACGATATCTTTTCGTAATTTTTTTTAGACATCTTTTCCTTTTGTCGAATAACTTAAAAGGATATCTTTTGTGTCTGGGAGAATTTACAAGAAATCCATCGAATTGAGACATCAAGTCTATTCTTTTTAGCTAAAATTCTTGCACGGTTCAACTTTTTTCCTTTTTTCTCTATATTGGAAAGAAAAAGAGAAAACATGAACTGTCTGAAAAGTTCAGCTAAAAAGAACAGGTCTGTAGTTTGTACACTTATGTACCTGGCAAATATTTAAAATTGATTTTTTTCAAAACAAAAAGCTTCATATAAAAATATTTTCTTCTACATTTTAAACTTATTTTTTAATAATTTTAAGAATTATTTCCTTCCCGGTTGTACCATCAATTTACGAATACTCTATTTTTATAATATTAAAAATTTAAGGGGATAATAAAGTCGGTCTGTATTACCGATTAAACTATATAATTTTTGTATAAAAATTACTTTTTTCCTCTTTTACTGATTTGAAAATCCTTTTCCATTAACGTATACGCATTAATACGAGTCTGTGAGGTGGAGATCGTTCTATGCTGAGAACGACAAAAAATTTCGAAGTTGAGATTTTTACTTTCTTTACATTTCTTAATCTAATATGTCACATCGTCGACAACATTTGCTTGATATAAAAGCTGTGCAATCTTTACTTACAAAATAGTCCACAGACTAGTAGTTTGTATGAAGAAATAGCGTGGAGTTTTTAAAATTAGATTTAGATGTCTAATTAAAACGTAATTGTTACACAAAAATTGATATGTTGTGTAGCATGTGTGAATGAGATATTGGCCGGTATTTATAGTCTGTTCTTATTTTAAGACCATCAGGTAACGTCTTAATATGCTAGTACAGCCCCCTAATTGACTCATGACATCTTAAGACTGTACTTAAGACAATCTCAAATATAAGAATCCCAGCCAATATGAATACCAGCCATAGATGTAGTGATGTGTCAATGACAGTCGTCTATGTGTAAGTGCTATTTACAATACGACTAATCGTGTCTTTAGGATCCCCTTAAAATATAATAATTTAAAATTAAGGCCCCTGAAATATACAGTGAAATTTAATAAAAACGAAATAAAAAGTTTTAATAACAGTAGTAGTAGTAATCTAGTTCAGTGACACTATAATATATGGAATGCAGCAAATATATGGAACTATTTAATGTTCTTATACAGAGACAAGATTATTTAAACACACTTATATAGTATTTATTATCTAATTAATAACAATATATTTATCATAACTATATTAAGAAAAGTATTAAAAAAATATTCTCAAAAATGTTTTTCTTATCATTAATGAAACTCTAAATATGTTTGACTTTTCAACAAAAATTAAAACAATACAATTATAAATATTAAAAATCGTTCATTTATCCAAATTCTTACTTGCAAAACTAAACTTGCTTAAAAGAAAAAAACATAACAATAGAAAAATAAATAACATTTCTCAAAATAAAAATGTATTATAAAAGAAAAATCATATCATGTAATAAAAAGTTTTATTCTTATGAAAGCTGCATATATTTAAATTAAGTTTAAAGGAATAATTCTTTCATTAATCTTGTTTAAAATATCAATACTGTTATCCTGCTATCACATAAACAAAATCCTATAATTTTACAATCTATATTAACAGAATCATAACTTTATCTAAAAATCGATTTTAGACTTTGTTTACTAATAAAAAATAAGCCAGAAAAAATGAATTAATGTTCGAATGCTTTCTCAGTGATTATTCAATTGCACAATTTATCATATTAATATGTATTATCACAATTTATCATATTTTGAACACTATTTTCAATGTTACTATATATATAAATAGGGTTTGAAAATCTACTATAGGAACGCTTATATTTTGTACTACTTACCTTTCCAATCCCAAAATATGTCACAAGTGTAAGACATGGTGCCGCAAGAGAAAAAATTAATAAATGTCTGCTTATCCTCTTTTTATCTACGCCTTCATGAAGAAGAAATGATACAAGTCCAAATGCAGCTGGTGCCTAAAAAAAAATTTAATTTTTTAATAACAAATGACAAAATAACGTAATTACGTTAATACTACATTTTCTATGAAGTTCCTATTAACTGTCAATTGTTAGGATTGTATGATTAAACATTTTACTTTGTGCAACATTATTGCCAAAAAAACTATCATTTCAACATCAGCTTGAGATGTAGTAGCAGCAGCTCCTAATGCAACTCCATCAACTGCTGCATGTACTATAAGACCTAAAGTTGCTGTAACACTTTTTTGTCTTCCATCATTTTTTTTTGCTGAACATTGATCAATCAAAAGCATAAATACAAAACCAAGCACTAAACTAATTCCAATTAAAGAATGTAAATCACCTGTAAAAACAGATTTAAAAATATAAATTTAAATATATAAAAATACAATTATATAAATTAATTAAGAAAAACATTAATAATAAATATAATAAATTACCATGTAATTGTTTTTCATTAGTAATTTCGCCAGTAAATAAAGCTCTTATACCTTCAGGTATAATCACTGCTAATGCAGTTCCAACAAGAAGACCTGCCCCTAATACTGATACTAATTGTAATTTATCCTGTAGGAAATAAATATGTATACTATATAATCATATAGCATGTTTTGATATATTTAGGAATCTAATATGTAGAATACAAAAACTACTTATTATAAAAAATTATCTTACTTCAGACAAACTCATGACTAATGGTAATGATCCAGCCAAACAAGAGCCAACCAGCATAACAAGAGTAAGTATCCATAACATTGTTCCTTTTTCCATTATTTTTTCTTAATAACGAAAGGAACTATTAATTCCCAATATTACATTATTAATTAATTAAACACATGTGTAAAGCAACAAGAATGGTTAACTGCATGTTAAACATAAATCATAAACATTCTCTTCAATTGATCTATTCCACTTATATATCATATGTATATATGTAACAGTTTTATAGTAAATAAAAATATACATATAAAACAACATCAATGATTTTTTCTGTTCTAACTTCTGTTTTCAAACAGACACAATTCAATAATTTCAATGATTGATACACGTGAGCATTATTAAAACCATAACATACAATTATTAGAAAGGAGACATGGTAGAAAGATTACATAGGGTGCTTTCCAATTGCAATATCCCTAGACACTTTCGTGCACACAAGTTGCGTTCCAAAGCCGGTATTCTTAATCGATTCTTATTTCAAGCCCATCTTAAGTAATGTCTTAAGACGCCAATGCAGCCCTCTGATTGGTTCATAACTTCTTAAGACGGTCTTGAATATAAGATGCGACTATGAATACCAGCCCAATTGTTCGTTAGATTACATTTTTATGCTGACGCTCGATACTCATTTTCAGCGTTAAAACAGGTTACGTAATCCAAATTGATGCTTGGTATTCGTCAATTTTGATTACGTGACCTGGATATCAATCGTGAAACTTTCTTTCTAGGGTGAAAAGTAAAAAGTGAAAAATTTCTCTTTTGACTTCAAAAAATTTTCACTTTTCACTTTCCATCCTAAGGATCAAATTTCATGATTGATACCCTGGTTTGACGCTAAAAATGAGCGTCGAGCGTCAACATGAAAAAGCAGCCTTAGGGTATAACAAACTAAAAAGATAAGTATATTGATAAAAATTATAATAAATTTAGTGAATACAATTTCTTAAAATGAATACAAAAGTGTATTTGTCATTATATCGTTCCGCTTTTCCGCGGAAATTGTGCTCCATGTAATATTAAGAGATCAAAACAGGCAAGACAGAACGCGCGGAAACGCAGAAATCTAGTAAAGTTTAATTAATTTCGTCTTCCGCGTATCCGCATTTTCGCACTTCATGTAATGGCACTCTTAAGGTAAATTTTCATGAACTGCTCGAACCGGCTGTTTCAGGATTTGTATGTAAAATGCAGAGCATTAATTCGCTGGGTAATAGCAGCTCGACTTATCGAAAATACAATAAGAAAATGCAGTACTAAAAAGTTGATAAAAAATTTTGAAAAAATTCTTAGAGTTTTATGAGAAGAAAATACATGATTTTTGTCTCTTGCAATTTTTCTGTAAAGTTGATAGTATTTGAGTAAAAAATAAACGTCGATAAGTCGGGCCGCTACCATGACTCAGTGAATTAATGCACTGCAGTGTACTTGAAGGAACTCTTTTGAAGGAACTCTCATATAAAAACATTTGTATTTCATATAAAGAGTTTTGAAGTGCAATTGAAAAGATTGTGAGTCGTTCTGTTAATTGTAATTAATTATTTATTTTTTGACAATGTACTTATCCGGAAAAATAAGCCGGAGGCAAATTAAATATAGTTCTGTATGATGTCCTTTGTATTTTGTATGAAGAGTTATGAAGTGCCATTGAAAAGGTTTGTGAGTCATCAAAATAATTTTAATTAAATATTTAAAGATCATGTAATATAAATTTCATGTTCCGAAAGTATTAGCAGAAGTTTAAGGCGCAATCGGTAATCTAGTATTTCGATACTCCTGGTTATTTTTCGATCATAAAATGAACGAGTGTTTTTTGAGTTTTCGATGACGTTGTCTCGAATCTATTATTTTTTTAACAGTATGTTCAGTATAAAACTGTCATTTAAAAAGATTATATATTTTTGCAATTATACGAAATATTGCATGTATTTACTAATGTGGTACATTCTAGGAAACAGTAGTAAAACACGACCGGATGGCGAGAACATGAAGTACTATATTTTGGCGATTGTCCATTGTTATCTATACAGTGATCTGGACGTGACTTTAGAGCATGGCTAACAAACGAGGGCGATAATAAAAGAATTGACGGTAATTCGAGCCAAATTTTTATTAATTTACTTTCCTGTATAAAGCTAATTTGCTTCCAAAAAAAACTGTTGATACGCTGAATTTAATGTATGTAGGTATGACAAGTAATACATAAAAGATAAATTGTATTACAGAACGATCCGAAGATAAAAAAAAAAACGCGAACTGGTTCCAGATGTTAATTGATTTGGTTTATGTACTTTTAGATTAAATCAATTGCAAGCTATTGATAACAGCTATATGACAAATCAGTGCAGCTATAACTATGGATCTTGATGAGAATGACGATATGTGGTTACCAAATTCTACTTCTGTTAATTTTATTCTAAAAGGCTCTTTTAGACAGAGGTACTGGTTGTTACCACTATGAAGTAAAATTTGTTCTTTTATTAGCATGGCTAAAAGTGTCAAATATAGTTGAAAATGAGATATATCAGTTTCGAAGTAATTTATACTTATTACATTCTCAATCATTGTTTTCAGTGTAGTTTTATGCAGAAAGAAAAGTGGACTGTTTCTCTCTTTTATCATTGGTATCTATGATTCAGGCGAATCTAACCAATCAATAATTTTGTTCAATTTGATTTCAATAAAAGAAAACGAGCTACAATGAGTATTCTAATGTGGTGATGAATTTAAGATGGATTATTTATTGATCAATTTTATTCTGGTTATATTGTTATATCGTTCATGGACATATTTCACCACAATTACTGGTAAGCTATTTATTGAGCTATTTTATATACAATTATCTTAAACATTGTTTTAAACATCATGTTTTTGAAAAGTAAACACAATACTTTTCTTTTATAGGCATTAGTTTTATATATCATACATAATCTTTATTTTTTAGAATATGAATTACATTTACTTATTATGCCCCTAGGCAGAGCATTTAGTGGTTTAACAAAGATCACAGAGAAACAAAAGATTATCAAAGAAAAGTATAGTTTTGTTAGAACATTATTCTAAACTTTTTTAAACAAAAAACCCACTTTATTACAACACTTTTTAATGAAACATAATTTTATTAAACATTGTGTCAAAAAGATTTGATAATTCTGAGAGAAAATAAATTAACTTGATGTTGCAGTGATTATTCTTATAGCATTTCCGGATTATTTTGGCAATGATGAATTACCTAATTACTCAACTCAGTTTAGAAGATGAGTAAAAGAAAAAATAAGTAAAAGATGTCAAAATACTTGGAGTGCTCATAACTGGTGGGTTAATGTTAAATATAATAGACGAGAAATATTTTCTCGCAAGACAAAAGATGGGTTTGGACTTGCTAGATCCATCAATAAATATTACAATTTCCAGTGAAGTCGATAATAATAATGAATCAACTAATTTTAATAATTTTTCATTTGATTCTACTTGTCAACACACTTTGTTTGATTTAATATCAAGTACAAATGAATGGGAGCAAATTAAACCACTTCAATCAGAGATAAAATCAAAAAGATTTAATCACACATTTAAGACCATAGATATGGACTAACGTTGTTGCTGATGCATTTTATGAATAACATAATCTATCTTGCGCATATACTTTTGTTAGAGGCGGTGTAAATACATTTTCCCAAAAACAAATATTACATTAAGATCATCCGTAGGTGTAAGAGTAAAACTTGTGTCAATATTTTCAAAGACGTTGTTGGTAGAGAACAGACGTTGGTTAGCAGCACTAATAAATTTTGTATACACAGTGTGTGTGTGTGTGTGTGTGTGTGTGTGTGTGTGTGTGTGTGTGTGTGTGTGTGTGTGCGCGCGCGCGCGCGCGCGCGTGTGGGTGGGCGCGCGCGCGTATATTGGAGAGGAGGAAGATAGGGCTATTGGGAATTGAAGGTAAGGAAAATAAGGCTATTGCGAATTGGAGGCAAAGAAGGTAGTGCAGGAGCACATTGGGACTAGGGTGCTTGTAAAGAACGGTGTAAGGGATGGGATTTCCTGGAATATATGATTACTAGTCTATCGCCTTCGTTGGAGAGAGAGGAAGAGTCTAAAAAACCAATCTCAGTCAATCGGTACGGAAGCTGACTGGTATGGAGGAGAAGATGGGAGCTAATCTAAAGGAGGAGGGAGAAGGAATCGCTCTTCAATTAGGAGAGGGGAATAATTAAGGATCTCCTGGATGGCAGGGTCAAGGACAGAGGGATCAGGTCTATGGGTCGTGTTTCTTAGGAGATTGGCGAATATGAAATCTCTGAAAAAACCGTCGTCGGTCGATTGTAGCGGCACATTTTGGCTAGGTGGACGACTTCGCCTACTCCTTCGGATATACGGGGTTTGTCCCCGTGTTTTTTTTGTACTACGCACGCGCACTATAACGGAATCGAAGGAGTTAAATTGGTGTACGTTAAGTATGAATATATTAAATATATGCATATATATTTGTATATCCACACGAGGAACATATATGATTGAGCGTATAACAACTGACTTACTGTTGAGATGCGTGGGATTGCTTGGTCCACAACTTTCAGGTGGGTATTTGACTCAGGAGACTCGCTGTCCGCGCAAAAGTACAGGAAGGTAGTCTGATGGGTTGATTCCGATAATTCGATGGACTCGAGCATGGATACACGAACTCGGCATGAACGGGTTTACTGATGATTTTTCTCTAGGGTGAACCGTATTAACGTGAACCGAGTTACTTTGACTTTCGTACTGACGCTCTGTGCTTCCGCGGGACCTCTATTTGTATCCTGAAAAAAGGTAGTGTCCTTTGTTTAGGATGCAATAGTTGCAATGTTGCGAGATTTACGAATTTTATAACGTCCTATTGTTGTTAATCTAAGGTATATTGTTAGAGGAGTTTCGAGAAGAAAAGAAATGATAAACAGATTGAAGGACTCTTCCTATATAAAATAAATAATAATAAATAAAGAGCAAAGAAAGAGTCAACACATTTCTTCAAAAAAATTACACAATTAAAAGAATATAATACAAAAACCGAGAAGTAAAATTACATTAAAATTACGTAACAAGTTTCGGCTACCTGATTGAGTCCTCTTCAGATAAATATATTGGAAAAAAGAGAAAACCGTAATACAAAGTACTAAGCGCAAATGTTCGCAAATTCATTGTATTCAACATTCGGATGAGTCATGATGTAGAACTCGACGATATTCACGTACGATTACACGGTCGCAAGTGTATCATATCTCTTAGAAGAGTTCTAGTTGATAAAAAGATAAAAAGGCTTCTTACGAAAAAATAAACACAAAAAAAGATTAATATAACGGAATTCTAATAAAAAATAAAAACTCATTAAAAACATATGTAAATTGTTCAAACAAGTGTGTCCATACAGGTATACAAAAAAAAGGCTATTATAATATATACAAACAAGTAAAACGCAGACGTAAAAGCTGGACATTGTGTATCGCTTAAAGTGTACGCTCGCTGGTACGGATCACCACGGACTGAGAGAAGAGACGGATCGACGGTATCGCAAAGTCAAATTCTATTTACAATCCGTCTCTTCTGAGTGTCGCGTAACTTATTTTGTAGTTGTCTTGGCCCCCCCTTTTTAAACTTAGAGAGAGTGGTCCCATGTCCTACTGTATTTATTTTATTTTATTTTATTATACTTTATATATGATCTGGGCGTTGCTCGCCCATGTGATATTTTTATTCTTATTTTTTATTTTTAGTTTTTAACTTTTAATTTTTAAAGTTTTATATTTTAACAGTTGGACGGGGACCCCTCTCTGCTAGTTTTATCTATTTATTTTATTTATTTATACAGGGTACTTTTGTATCTTTTATTGTTTTTAGCTATACTATTTTATCTTTCCTCCCTTTCTTTCTTTTCTATCCTTTTTAATTTTTCCTACTTTTATCTTTTTAATTTTTTGTACTTTTTATTTGTTTTATTTATTTTATTTATTTATTTATTTATTTATTTTATATATTTTACAAAGGTTAAATAATAAAAAGCATACAGCCACAACTAAGGATGTAAATAAGTTATATATTATTTAAAAACAATTTCATAACAATAAGTAGACGTTTCGGTCAAGATTTGACCCTCTTCAGTACAATAAAATTGAATACGTTAAAAATTAAAACTAAATAAATAATTCAACTGATAAATGTAGTGATAGCTAGTAACAAAAATTATTATTTCCTTATAATACGGAATTAATCGCAATCGATCGAAGTAGATTCAGGTAACAGTTTATTGTTGTCGCGCAAAAGTTTTTTCTTTCATAATACAATTAAGAATTCTTCAATTTAAAAAACGACGAGCCCCACACGAAGAGATACGCAAGTACCAAGTTCTATTGTAAAAATAAAAAATTTTTTTAACAAGTAAATTAGTTATTGTCGTATTTTTGTAAAAAACAATCAGATTAAGCAATATGCTCCTATTTAGATTCAACCCCGAGTTATTTAAAAAAATTTTTTTATCCTTTTGAAAAAGCAATTGAATAAACTTACGTGTATCCTGTGGTGCGAGGACCCCTCCGTATAACTGAACATTGTGACAATTTAAGGTAAAGAGTGAATTTAAACTGCAATAATGCTAAAAGCCAAAAAATACTGATCTATTTATATTAGAAAAAAGGAAAAAAGAAAGGATAAGAAAAGGGAAAGGAAGGGGAAGAGTTTAGAGTGGGGCTGGAAACTATTGTTCAAGGAGAGGGAGATAAAGATCTGGAAACCGCTCCGTATCGCTCTGTTTATTTAAACAATTTTTTTGCGTCTTAATATAAATCATTTCAGATACCAATCTTTTATAATGAGAGCGTTCCGAATCTAATATTTTAATATTCCAATCTTAAATTGTCACAGTGTTCAGTTATACGGAGGGGTCCTCGCACCACAGGATACACGTAAGTTTATTCAATTGGTTTTTCAAAAGGATAAAAAAATTTTTTTAAATAACTCGGGATTGAATCTAAATAGGAGCATATTGCTTAATCTGATTGTTTTTTACAAAAATACGACAATAACTAATTTACTTGTTGAAAAATTTTTTGTTTTTACAATAGAACTTGGTACTTGCGTATCTCTTCGTGTGGGGCTCGTCGTTTTTTAAATTGAAGAATTCTTAATTGTATTATGAAAGAAAAAACTTTTGCGCGACAACAATTAACTGTTACCTGAATCTACTTCAATCGATTGTGATTAATTCCGTATTATAAGGAAATAATAATTTTTGTTACTAGCTATCACTACATTTATCAGTTGAATTGTGTATTTAGTTTTAATTTTTAACGTATTCAATTTTATTGTACTGAAGAGGGTCAAATCTTGACCGAAACGTCTACTTATTGTTATGAAATTGTTTTTAAATAATATATAACTTATTTACATCCTTAATTGTGGCTGTATGCTCTTTATTATTTAACCTTTGTAAATTTCTTAGCCACTTTCTAACAATTTAAAATTATATATTTTATCTATCTTATTTATTTTATCGTATTTTATCTATTTAATTTAACTTTTCTGTTTGTGGGGCTCTGACTGTCCGAGTGTGAATGCCGCGGCAAACAATATTGTTTTTTAAACGAGTATGAATGTGTGAGATTTACATCTTTACTTTTTATTGTACATAACTCACTGCCGCGCGTGCTCCTCTGGGCCTTTTATACTTTGACGATTTATCTGTGATATCCCGGAGGAGATGTAGTGCAACTGTAATGACATATCTCCTCAATCTGCGAACTGGGGAGGTATAATCATTGTAATAGCTTCGCAGGCTGGGGGGTTTGCTCCCTAGCCTTTAGTTGTAATGCCCAAGCGGGGGGGAGGAGGCCTTTATCCCCCGCAGTGATATGTCTAAGATTGCGCGCAGTTTAGCCGCCTATTCTTGTATTACCCCAGAAGAAAAGTTTTTTGCTAAATAAAAGTGAGTTAATCTGTTCTTATCAGCTTAATATCTGATACAGTCCCCATAGGGGGCTCAATATATTAATCTATTTTTTACCAGGCGGATGCTCGGAGCTTGCTCCGACCTTGCCACGGGTCGACCCTGCATTGCAG